TCACATCCAGGAAGGCTGGGCTGCAGCAGGGAGGCACTGGGCTCTGACACCTTTGTCTTTGGCTCTCCTGAAGGTCTCCGAGCAGCTACAGCCAAGTGCCAGAGCAGCCAGATCCACTGGAGCCACCCTGCCAAGACACCAGCCCAGCAAGGACTGCAGCACGACCAGGGGCTCCAAGCACTGCCTGCTGCTCTTCCTGCCTCCCTGCCCATCCCACAGAGCTTTTTCCTTACACAGCCAGGGAGTGGCAGCCCCGTGGGGTGGGAATACCATCCACGAGCACTGCTAAAAACTGTGTCCCTGTGCAGGGCACTTTGCTTGCAGACTCAGACCGCCCACCTGATTTTCCCTGCTCAGAGGTGCAGGAGCAGCCGGGAGGGAAGTCATTCTTTCCTGGATGTTGCCACCCCATGGTTTTCCTCCTCCTCTTCTCCATACAGGGAGGGTTTGGAGACTGTCTCACCTTGCAGCTCTCGTGTACAATTCCCAGCTTGGTCTGTGAAGATCAGGTTTGGGGACTGAGGCATGTGTGTATCACCAGGGAGGCTGCAGCAGGGTGCTGCTGCTCGTGATTTACACATGCACCAGCTCCCACACAGGTCAGAGGTACTGGAGCAGACCTGGCCTCGTGCAAAAGGTGATCACCAGGTACACCAGTAAAATATGCAAGAAATACACTCCAAACCCCCCCCCAAAGTGCAACTTCAACACGGGCAGTGGCCCTACAAAACATGGGGGCAGTATTTCAGGCAGCTCACTGCAGGACCAGTTTCCATTATTAGCTCACCCAGAGCTGAACTAGGGGCAACACCAGCAGCCAAAAAGAATTAAACCAGAGGAAGAGCAGGTCTTGCCTTTCTCCTTCTAGCTGTAGGGTCTGCAGGCAGCCAGGTGTTGCAGAGAGTGGGTGGTGCTGGAGAACTGCACTAAACAGAAGCTGCCAACTGAATGAGCAAGGCCACGACGTTGGCAGAGGGGCTGCACATCTTCCCCAGCCTTCTCCCCGCTGGGGCTGCCCAGCTGTCACGTTTTGTGCAGGTCCCCACTGCTCACTGCTGGAAGGGGATCAGCAGCACTCAGCTCCAGGTAGCCACAGCCACAGCAGCTGCCCTGGCTGCAGACAGCCAGATCCCTCCTCCAGCATCACCTTAACTCTGCCCAGCCAAGCAGATGCAGGAACACCCAGGAGCAGGCAGGGCTGCCCTAGAAGCTGGCACACAGGAGACCAAGGAAGAAGATGGCTACGAGCCACCTCCCTTGGGACAGGAGTCACTGGGCCAGCACCATCCACGTGCCTTGAATGCCCGAAGCCAGCTTGACACAGAAGAAAAAGCCTTGCCCAGCACCAGAGACGTCCCTCAGTGTGACTCACCCCTGCAAGGAGCACACCTCCCTGTCCCTCTGCCACCCCCAGAGCCCTTCAGGGGCATCAGCAGCTGCACAGCCAGCTGGGCACAGCCTGGCACAGAGGCAAGCCAGAGCCCAGCCCACAGCCCCATGCTGTCAGATAGCCCTGGGGTGATGAAATCCTCTGATTTCACTGCTGAAATCCACCAGACCAAGCCTGTCTCAGGTAGAGTTGATTGCAGAGAGGGCACAGGAAGAGAGGAGAGAGAAATGGAGCGGCAGCCTTGCCTAGACAGAGGTTGGTCTTTTTCCACTCACGCTGATAAACTCCTGGGATTTATCAGGGCTTCTCTGTCATGCTTTCCACCACAATGGACCTTGCCATCATCCCCTGAGAGAGGATACACACACTGCTTCCCACTGCTCTGGGGAGCCTCCTCTCCTTCCCCCTCCTCCCTGAGCCCTCTGGTGCCCCAAGAGGTACCAGCCAAGCCCAGCCTCCCAGCTGGGCCTCCCGTGGGACAGCAGAGGGCTGGGAGGGACACAGAGGGGAGGAGAAGAGGAATCAGGCAGCAAAGAGAATGTCTCAGGGAAGCTCAGATGAGATGGTGAAGGCAGTCCCATCAAAGGGCTCAGTCCAGACAAGAGGTCCTTGGGAAAAGGCCAGTGTTGGGGGCACTCAGTTGGATTCACACTGCTGGTGTCTGAGAGTCATGCCAGGTCTACAGGGTGTGCCCCTGAATCACTCAATCCATCAGGGAGCCCAGAGTCAAACTGAACATAAACCAGCTCAAACTTTTATTGTTCCACATGTTTTTTTTGTTTTTTTTTTTATTCTCAATCCAGAAGTGCTGTTGTTGGACTCAGCAGAAACTGAAGCAGCTGCTACAGAACCCAAAACTCCATTACTTTTTGAAGCCTCCTCAACAAAGCATTGCAGAGGGAGCAGCTCAGAATTAATAAATGCTTTGACACATTTAGCCTGTACATCAGAACATGTCCATGGTGGGGGGGGACCCGCTGCTAACTCAGGAAGCTCATGAGATGTGATGCATGGTGGCAAAGAGAAAATGGCCTTGCACCAGTAATTCCCAGAGCCTGGCTTGTTTATTAATTCCAAAGCAAAGGGAAAATTGTCTGAGCTTAATCTGAGGCTATGAGGGGCTTAATAGGGTAACCAATGACTGGATGAAGTTTTCTTTGGCTTATCAATGATGGTGATTTCTACTCTTTTATGAAATTTGGGTTTTTCCAGGGCTGGGGAAGCTCCAGCCATGCCAAGCTGCTGTTCTTCTGCAGCAGCTCACAGAAGGATAACCACACCAGTGAGTTTTTGCCAGCTGCTATGGGGTTTGTTCCTTGGGGTGTGCAAAAACTCACTCCTACACTTTGCAAGGCTTGGGGAGGCACAGCTCTTGGACAACACCCCTGTAGAGAGGTCCACAATATGAATGAGGAATCCAAGGGTTGGGACCAAATCCAGGAGATTGCATCAACCCTCAGGTCCCCAGTGACTGCAGACAGAGCTGGGTTGCTCCATGACTTGTTTCCTCTGCAGAGGACATTGGTTTGCTAGTGGCACTTGCAGATGAGCAAGGGGTGTCTTACAGAGGAGAGTCATGGAGAGTCATGGTCTCTCTGCCCTGCCAGACACGGGTGGGGGAGTTTGTGGTGTGCTGTGTGTTAATTTTTATTTCCAAAAACCCAGTATTCATCTGGAGAAACAGGACAAAGCCCTGCTCAAACTGCAGCCTGGAGACCTTGTGGCCCAGAACCCGGAGAGCGACTTTCCAGACTGCTGAGAGCGAGTGTGTCCAGCAGCCACCTCGAGGCTTCCTGCCCCATTTTGGTTACCATATCCTATCACTTCCAAAACATCACAGGCAGCACTCTGGGTTTGTTTACAAACAGTGGCTTGAGATCAGCATCAATCAGAAAAGAAATCCAACTCAGGCAGCTGGGGACCAGTTCTTACAAGTTAACATCTCTCAGAGGGGAGGTCTGAGCAGCCCAGGCTGGAGGTGGCCTCCTGCTTCATGTGACCAGCAGTGTGGTGTGGCACCATCCCAGCACAGCATCTCAAATTCCAGCCACAGTTTTACAATGAGAAGGTTGTGTATTCTCTGTATTCAAACACTTCTCTTTTAACCAAAAAATTACCTTTTCAATTAAAAAGTAGCTTCCTGGTCAGTGCTTTTCACGTGATTTGAAATTCTCCCTGGGTTTTTTTTTTATGAGGAAAGGAAAAAATTAAAGTGTTTTCGTAATGTTGGGGTTTTCCCTCTTTTTCTCTGCTCTTTTAAATCACCTTTTCCTCCTCTCAGTGAAAAACTGGAAAATGAATCATGTCCCCGTGTGGGAGCTCTAACAAAACGTTTCATTTTTATCCTCCTTCCTTTTCTGCTGTCAGCCCTCCTCTCCCTCCAACTTCCCCGAGCCGGCAGCGTCGCAATCTGTCACGCGGACAGACAAAGCTGCATCTCACCCCTCTGTCTGCTGAGAGGGTCAGCAGGGGCAGATCACTTAACACTACACCTGTTTTATGAATAATAATACAGACAGTTTCGCTGGGTTCCTGGGAGGACATTTTCCCACCAGGATAAGCGCTGCATATTGAACAAATTAATGTCTTTAACTCGTTTGACTCTGGTTAGCTCGGCTGCAATGGGGAGCTCCAGCGGGGCTGTTGGAGCAGGGGAAAGACCAGGCAAGCCTTTGAGGATGGTTTCTTAGAGGGTTTTGCTCTTTCCTCCCTGCAAGTTTCACTCGTGGAAGTGGGTGATTATAAATTTGGGGTTGGTGAAGTTGTTTCCAGAGTGGAAATATGGAGGGGGAAAAAAGAACGGGACGTGTGAGGCTTCAGGAAAATGGAAAGTTATCCGTGAGCACACAAGGTCTGTGTCACTTCAAAATGCTCCACCTGGACCAAAATGAAACATTTTGGTTCTTTTGTCAGTGGCTAGACTAGGTCAGAAAACAAAACACCAAACTAACCAACCAACCAACCAGCCAACCAAAAGCAAACAACCAGCCTCTCACTCATTAAAAACTTAATTTAAATATTATTTTAGAACTTCAAAGAATACAAAGAGTCCAAGAGTTTCTTTTTAAGATGGTGGAATGAAAAGTTTTGATTCACAGCAGGAAGTTTCTCTTGGTCTTTCCTTAGCAGAGACAAGATGGAGCAATACCTGTCTTCTCTCAGCCAGAGGACTGTGTCCATCAGCACAAGCAGAGATATCCCAAGTGACATTCCTGCCCTGATTTGGGCTGCCCAAAAGTGTCAGGAGGGACCCTCAGCCCCACCCCAAGCTGGACCTGTGACCGCAGCAAAAGAGGACACTGCTCTGCCAGCTCCAATCAGTGCCTCGCTCATAACATTTTATTTGTTTTGTTGACTTTTATTGAGAATGAAAAAATAATTTAAAGCAATTATCTGTACAGGGGGGCAGGGGGGTGGTTAGCTGGGTAAAGGATCTGTGACCCCGCCCAGACAGGCCAGGGAGAGCTCGAGGGGGTGATTTACAGCTGTACAAAACCACGACAATCCCACCGAGGAGGAGCGGAGGGCGAAGGACATCTCTGGAGCTCAGAGCACAGGGACAGCAGGCTCTGCAGGGGCACAGGGGGCCAGGCTCTGGCCAGACACACCCTCAAGTGACCTGCAGGGGTGTCTCCAGCATCTCCATGAGAAAGGTGTCGATGGGGGTGTCTCCAATGAGCTTGAAGAAGAAGAGGTGCTCCAGGCACTTCAGCCCGATGGACCGCAGCGCCGGCAGGCGCAGCAGGAGCTTGGCAAACCTGGCAAAGAACAGAGTCAGAGGCACAAGGGAGGCACTGGCTGCCCTCTCCCACCTATTTCCAAGCCTGCACCAGCCCACATTTTCCCAAAAAAATGCTTTTGGGGCATTCTCCGACTTAGATTCCCTTAAGCTTTCAATATAAGCATTTGTTATATAAACCTTGTGTGGTGGGATGAGGTGCTTCGTTCCAAAACAGAATCTGGCATTTTTAAAACTTGAAAGAAAGTAAACAAAAAAGAAGATACATCCAGATTTGAGCATCTTAACCCCTTACAAGACCCACATCTCCATGGTGCCATTTAAATCTGTCTTCAAGAACTCCCCAGGCTCCCAGAGGGTGTGCAGCCCCTCAGCTGCCAGGCACTGCCTCCGCTTTGGAGGCACATCTGGAAGGGGGTGCAGCTGGCAGCCTGTTCCCTGTTCCCCCTGCCCAGAGCCCACTTGCAGTGTCTGTGGTGACAGCCAAAGCCAAAACCAGCAGAAGATTCCGCGGGCACCGACCCAGCTGCCGGCGCTTCAAGAGCTTGGCCAGCAGAGGGTAGGATTGGATTGGGAAGCAACAAAATTCCGTCTCCACGGCACCCTCAAGGCTGGGGATTTGGGCACTGTGGCTCAGGCAGAGCCAGCACAGCCAGGCTCCTCTCTGCAGGGTGGGCATCACGCTGCCTTGCCGGGGGCACTCACCGCCCGGGCTGCTCGGGGTACTTCTGCTTCGTGTAGGCTTCCAGCGTGGCATAGACCTTCTCCCGCAGGGATTCCACTTCTGAGGGGCTGGACAAACCCTTGGCATCTGGTCAAGGGAGGAAATACAGGTGGGGAAAAGGTCTCTGCAGAGGGGTCATTGGTCTGTGCATGGGCAGAAGAGGACTGGGACAAATCTTGGTCTGCTGGGAGCTGTTCCTGCCCATTGCATGACGTGATCCTCAAGGAACCTTCCAACCCAAAGCATGAAATCTGTCTGCAGCCCTGATGCCCACTGTCACAGTGACCTGCTGTGGCCCAGAGGGAGTGCTTGTCACCTGGGACTGTCCCCAGCCTCGGCCTTACCTGGGTTAAAGAGGACAATGGCTCGCAGGCACCCCAGCTCCGACTTATCCATCTGCATGTCTTTCATTTTGGACACCAGCTCTGTCAAAACCCTGCATGTGGGGGACATGGGTGAGCAGACAATCAGAGACCAGTTTCTCCACTGAAAATAGGCACTGGGAATACCCTCAATTCTTCTCTGCAGGAAGAGAGGCATCTTTGAGGCACAGCCATGCTGTTCTACAAGTGCATCAGCAATATCCAGGGACCTGAGCATCAAATTTGTTCCTGTTCTCACTTTGTTCAGCACACGGCACTCACAATTTGCACTCACTCAAGGAAAACCACATGGGTTTTCTCCACTTTTTACTATGTGGTGCAAAACATGGGCACTGTCCTTACATGTGCCAGGTGTGTAAGGAGTGGTGAGGCAGCGTCCTGCCAGGCGGGGAGCAATCACAGCAGGGACAATGTGTGTGCACTTGTTACACAAGCAAGTTGGGGTTTAAGGCTTTGCCATCTAAAGCTCTTGGTGAGCAATATTAGGCCTAGATACAGCCACAGCAAACTCTCAAGAGAAAAGCATTCCTCCCCCTGCACACCCAACCCAACATCTGCTTCTGCAGCTGCAAATCCCTTCCCACTGTGCTTTCACCCCATTCTTGTTTTTTTTTTTTAAGTCAGTCAGACATCCCCTGCTCATTCCAAGCTACTTCTGCCCCAAACCACAAAGGGATTGCTCCAGTTCTCCTTAAGGAGAAGTTCAGAGGGGAAGCAGAGCCAGCCTGGCCCTGCTGGGGGGTGACAGGCACGTACCTGTCAAAGATGGAGCCCACGCCAGCGCTGTGGGCGCTGCTGCGGTGCACGTGCAGGCCCGTGGCCAGCAGGATCCCGTCCTGCACCGACACCGAGCGATGCGAGAAGGAGGCAATGAGCAGCTCATTCCAGCCTGCAAGCACAGGAGTGCAGCACACGTCAGGCAGTCCGGCCAAAAACCTGCCCCACGTGGAACAGCAGAGGTGGTTTCTCCCTGCTGGCTTTGGACTAAACTCAGGGGAGAGTTGGCACCTCAGGTACTTGCCAACACTGCAAGGGGTGGGCAATCCCTTGGAAATATCTGGGAAATGCTCTCAGGCACATGGTGTGATTCTTGGGGTTGTTCTGGGCAGAGCCAGGAGTTGGACTTTGATGATTCTTGCAGGTTCCTTCCAACTCAGGATATCTTATGATTTGATGACCCTGACTAGCAGCAAGCAAGGACCAGAAACTGGCTCAAGGGAAAACAATTAAAAAGACAAAAAAGAAAACGGGAAAAATATTCTTGTGTTTTCTTCCTAAAAAACATATTCCTAGCAACTGCAATCTCTTTACAAACAACAGATTCTACTGCCCCATCCACAGCCTCTGCCAGCCTCTCATCGTGTCTCAGAACGGGACATGCAGGAATGGATTGGCTCAGGATTGTACCTTCACCATCCAGCCTGGCTGGCTCTCACACAGCCCAGAGAAGGGACAGGGGCACAGGGACAGCCACAGGTGGGGGACATTACCTGCCCGGAGCAGAATGACTTGGTCTTCCAGCGTCAGGTCGGAGAAGTGGGGGATGCGCTTGGCCCACTCGACCAGAGTGAAGAGCTGCTTGTCAGCAGCATGGCAGATGTTGGTGACAGGGTCATTTGTCTAACAGAGAGGGGTATCAAAAGGAAAAGAGCAGAGGAAAAGAGGAGAATCCATCAGTGAAAAGTCTTTGATACTCACAATCGAGTTAATAACACTCAATGCCACAAGTGCAACACCCAATAATCTCAGGTGGGTGCTGTGGGAAGAGCAGGTATTTGTTACCACTGTCCCCTCTGCAGCCTGCCAAGTCAGCTTGATGCCTTGGAGTGGCTGCCTACAACAGAGGCTAGACCAGATTAAGAGGATAAAAAAGAGTATTTATTGAAGGCCTTCAATAGGCACACCTTGGGCAGTCAAAGCCTCCCAAAGGGACAACACCCAAGATGGACAATGGTCATGAGTTTTTCAGACAGATATAAGTTTAGTCCAGTTACAAATCAGGGGTTAATCCTCCAATTACAGGTTCAGGTAATGAAGACATTTACCCCCAGTTTGCTCCCCCCATTTCACTTTTGTTTATACTCTTTGGGGTCTGAGGCTGTGGGGTGTCCTTGAGTTTCAGGCCCAGAGGGATTGTTTTGTCTGACCAAAATGTGAAGACAGCAGCCAACACTCTGTATGGAGTTCAGAGTTATGCACTAAAGCAGTACTGGATTGAAAAATATAAAAGCTAAAATCCTAAGGCATCAAGCTGGTTGCTAGAGTTTTCTGTTTGCTTGTTGCCCTTTCCAAAGCAAGTCCCTCGTGGCCAGCTGCAGTCCTGCTCCCCAGGGCATATCAAAAAGCCAGGGAGCAGCCCCTGAATGGGCATGAGCACCAGTTTCATCCAAACCAGTAAAACCACAGCAGTAAACCTGCTGTGTTCAGCTCCACCCCAGCCTTGGTCACGGGGACAGACAAGAAATGTTCAGGGCTATGCATGTGTGAAAGCCAGCACAGGGCTCAGGCTCTCCAGCATCTATTTCAATGAGGAGATTCCTCATTGAAACTAAAAGAGACTTGGGAAAAAGTTATTGGAAAATAATATACAAGCTGTTTTCTAGTTGTCATCGGAGTAATTCCAAAAGAGAAACTGTTGGTGATTTTTAGGTGGTGTGGAGGGAAAAAACCTTGCGAAACACTTGTTCACATGGCGCTTGTCTGCCCAAATCCCAGCTCAAATCTCTGGCTGCAGGTGATGCCAGGGGCTCTTACCGAGCTCTCTGTGCCCATGTCACTGTAGGCCTCTGTTTTGGGCTCCACTGCCAGCTCAGCTTCCAGGATCCTCTCCACGGGCATGTCCTCGCTGCCACTGCTCGTGGCCTCGGCGTCGTTCTCGCTGCGCTCCCTGCTCCGCTGCCTCTCCTCCTGCACAGCTGGGGACACAAACACGGCTCTCTACAGCCACAGCAGCGCTCGTCTGCTCACAGGGGCTCCCCACAGGTGGGATGGAAACCCCCTCAAGCAGGGGAGAACAGAACATAAATGGGGGTGGCATTCACATTCCCTGAAAAAAATTATTTCGCTCAGGGTTTTTCTCCTGGGAAGCTGAAAGGCAACGAGAGGCCTCAGAGAAAAGGGAAACAATTCTTATCTCATTTGCTTCTCCTGTGTTGTGCTCATGTGGAATGTGTTTGGGGATTGTTCACCCACAGGTGATTGTTCCATTGGATTCTGCTGTGAGTTGTTTTCACTCTTTGGCCAATCAGGGCCAAGCTGTGTTGGGACTCTAGAAAGAGTCATCAGTTTTCATTATTCTCTTTTTAGCATTCTGTAAGTATCCTTTCTGTATCCTTTAGTATAGTATAGTATAGTATTCTTTAATATAATGCAGTATAATAAAATAATCAATTAGCCTTCTGAGAACATGGAGTCAGATGCACCATTCTCTCCCCTCGTTGGTAGACCTGCATTTTACAATAAATGGGTATTTCAGATGTGCACCCATTAAAATGGCTGCTCCCACAGCAAGAACTCTGAGGTTGCTGCAGACCAGTAGCCTCCAAATTTGATCAAAGATAGTGATTTGCTAAGTATGAAGCTCCAGAAGAGCTTCATACTTTGGAAGAGGAGTTGATACCTCCAGGTGGCAGCCTGGACTCAGCTGTCACTGGGTGCTGGAGGAGGCAGGAGGGACCCAGCACTCACAGGCAGGTTTTTTGTGCTCTCAGCGTGTTTCCAACAATCCCAGTATGCTTTCAACAATCCCACAGCAGCCAGAGCATCCACCAGCAGGGCTAGACAGTCCCAAACCCCCAGCTGGATTCACACATGCTGCTTGTCTCATCCCTGAGTAAAATCCTACAAAGTCTGGCCCAGCCTTGGCATCACCTCTCCCTTTACCACCTCTCTTCCTGATCCTCCCCACTAGAAAGTTCCTTCTACATCAGTACCCCAACACCTTCACTCCATAAGTATCCTTTCTGTATTCTTTAGTATAGTATAGTATAGTATTCTTTAATATAATACAGTATAATAAAGTAATCAATTAGCCTTTGAGAACATGGAGTCAGATGCATCATTCTCTCCCCTCGTTGGTAGACCTGCATTTTACAATAAATGGGTATTTCAGATGTGCACCCATTAAAATGGCTGCTCCCACAGCAAGAACTCTGAGGTTGCTGCAGACCAGTAGCCTCCAAATTTGATCAAAGATTGAGATTTGCAAAGTATGAAGCTCCAGAAGAGAGGGAAGAGGAGTTGATACCTCCAGGTGGCAGCCTGGGCTCAGCTGTCACTGGGTGCTGGAGGAGGCAGGAGGGACCCAGCACTCACAGAGTGATTTGCTAAGTATGAAGCTCCAGAAGAGCTTCATACTTTGGAAGAGGAGTTGATACCTCCAGGTGGCAGCCTGGACTCAGCTGTCACTGGGTGCTGGAGGAGGCAGGAGGGACCCAGCACTCACAGGCAGGTTTTTTGTGCTCTCAGCGTGTTTCCAACAATCCCAGTATGCTTTCAACAATCCCACAGCAGCCAGAGCATCCACCAGCAGGGCTAGACAGTCCCAAACCCCCAGCTGGATTCACACATGCTGCTTGTCTCATCCCTGAGTAAAATCCTACAAAGTCTGGCCCAGCCTTGGCATCACCTCTCCCTTTACCACCTCTCTTCCTGATCCTCCCCACTAGAAAGTTCCTTCTACATCAGTACCCCAACACCTTCACTCCATTCTCCCCTCTCTCTGTGTTTTCCAAACAAGGCACACCACAGAATCATGACACTCTCTCCACAGCTCAGTTTTTAACTCCCAGGGCTGCTGTGTGTAAGACAGGACCTGTGTATCTTGTGTGCAACAGAAATCCTGGATATGCTTTTTTTTTTTTTTAAGAAATCTCAAAGGGGAATACATCAATCCTACTTAAGAAGTGACCAGCAGGTATTATATTTGTTTTGTTCACTGCTGGAGGAAGTAGCAGCACCAAGGAGATGGATCAGCCTGGTGCATGTGAGGGAGGGCAACACAGTACACAAATATATGACAGCTGCTAGGGGAGAATATTTGTCCTCTTTAGAGTAATGGACAGGAAAAGCCATGCAAGTGTTTCTGAAGTCACCAAAATCTTACTGGAAGAAAGAACACAACAAGGAAATACCAGTCCCATCACTCAGCCCCTGAACTCAGGCTGCACTCTGTCCCCAGCTTCTGCAGCTCCCAAAAAGCCCCTGTGATTGCTGCAGCCACACTCCCACAGGATCCACCAGGATCCTGGGGTTTAAATTTTCACTCTCTGCAAAAGGAAGTTGTGCTAACACTCTGGTCCTCTGAACCACTTTGCACCTGGCTGGAAGAGGGAGCTATGCCTGGATTAGGTTTTTTATTCCTGGCATTTTGCAGTCAGTCCCCTGCTGCCCTGTGAGCTTGAGGCAGCACAGCTTTGGTGATGCTGCAGGATGAGGATCAGCTCATGCCCAGTGTTACAGCTGCTTCCCCAGGCATCTCTGTTACTTTATCTTAGAAAAAATGAGCTTAAATGCTGTGTTGGTTGTCACTTCCTGACCTTGCATCTGTTAGCATAATTTGGGAGACAATCCAGCTCAGCAGGTGAGTGGAAATAACAGAGGGGAAATGACAGAGAACTATAAAATGAGAGACAGAAATAAATCATTCACCCTTATCCTCCAGTACAAGAATTAGGTGGTGACAAATGAAGTCAGCAAATCAAAAACAAAAAGAAAAGGAAGCTGCTCTTCACAAAGGAGACAAGAAGTCTGCAGGACCCCTCACTGCTGGGTGCTGTCCCCAGCAGAGGTTTACAGTTTTCCAAGGGGTCCAAGCCATTAAGAGTCACTAAGTAGAGGCAAGGTTGGCTCAGAATCAGTTAAAAGTTTCAATATTCACCAGTGTGTATGATTAGGTGAGAAGAAAAATATACTGTAACATCTTCCCCATCAGTCTCTTCCCTTATTAGCCCTTATTAGGAAAAAAGTCTTCACAGAAGGAAGAATTTTTTGCTCCCTGTCCAACATGGGAACAGGCTGCTCAGGGAGGTGGCTGAGTCACCATCCCAGAGGCATTTACAGGACAGGTAGATGTGGTACTTAGGGACAGGGTTTAGTGGTGGAATCTGCATTGCTGAGCCAACAGTTCCACTTGATCTTAAAACTCTTTTCCAACCTAAACCATGATTTCCTTTACGTAACAAGGACCAAAACCCCTTGATGCCCTCACTGTGGGATTTTGGAATGCACCAGCTCTCGAGGGTCACCAAGAGCCTGATTTATCCTAATGAACGAAGGAGAATTTCTCCACTCCCACTGCCTGCAGCAGCCCCAGCCCTACCTTCCCTCTTCATGCCCATGGCGAGGCACTTCTGGTAGCGGCAGTACTGGCAGCGGTTGCGCTGGCGCTTGTCGATGAGGCAGTCCTTGTTATCCCGGCAGGTGTAGATCAGATCCTTCCGGATCGTCCTCTTGAAGAAGCCCTTGCAGCCCTCACAGCTGTACACCCCATAGTGCTTCCCTGGGGAGGCAAGGGAATTGCTGGGCAGGAAGGTGTTTGCCCTTCCTTCCAGCGTGGAGGAGCTCAAAGCAAATCCAAAGGTGAAAAAACTGCAGGGTATCACCTTGGCAGGCCTGAGCTGGCTTCAGTGAGTCTCAGCAGCAGCAGCCCAACCACAGGACCACTGTTTTCCTGTGAGAAGGAGGGGCTGCATGCCACTGGAGTGATGTGCAGCATGTGAGCTGCGAAAGGGGTGCACTGATATGGAGAGGGTTTGCAAGGCTCACTGGGGTACAGGAGAAAACCCAGACACAGCCAGAGCCCAGCTAACACAAAGCACTGGTGTATTAGTTTTGGTTTAGGGCAAATTTGGGAGAGAACCTTTAAAGGGGCATTTTTAGAAAAGCAGATTTAATTGGCCTCTTTCTTTAACTGGTTTGGGAGAAAATACTTCATTACATAGTCAACCCAGGACAACAGGGAAATGGGAACACAGAGATTTTGGTAGATTTACCTTTGGCAAACAGGGACAGAAGGCAAAATGAGGTTACACACACAAGGGAAAAGAGCACAGCGTTTAGGTTTGCTCACTTTTGGGCACTAATCTGCAGTACAGAGAGCCAGACCCTGCCATGACCTTGCCATGGCAGGATGGCCCCAGCGAGCCTCCAGCGCTGTTCAGGGCTGCACCAGGAGAGTTCTCACTGCACAAAGCCTTCCCCAAGAGAGAAACCCTCCTACCTGAGGACCTGTCCCCACAGATGGCACAGATGTGTTTGGCTAGGGATCCTGGACTTGTGGATGGATAATTCATGTTCCCCATCCCCGGGAGACCCGGCAAGGGCTTGACATCCTCCGAGCTGCTGACATTGTTCAGGACATTGAGCTGCAGAAAGCACAAGACAGGTTAGAGGGGAGAGACTGACATCTCAGTGAAACCAGCCCCAAATGGAGCTCACCCTTCCCTTGCTGCTCCTGCCAGGCTTGTCCCACAAGCTTATCCCCACGGGGCTGCCCTGGGCAGGCAGACATCCTCTGCTGAATCCAGCAGGGAGGGGTTTAAACAGGCACTAAAACAGTACTGCCTGATGTTGTAACCAAAGCCAGGACTCAGCAGAGCTGGAAAAGGGCAGGCAGTCACCTCAGCTGCTCAGTTACAGCCTCCAAGCCATGAGGCTGGTGGGATCCTGGCTGTTTCATTAGAGGATGCTGATTGCTGGCTCCTGGCAGCCACAAGCACTAGCAGCTTAGTAAAGCAGAGATTTGCGGACAGGTGATTTGTTACAATCTAACCTGCTCTGCTGCATGGCTAGGGAAGCTGTAATGATGTTTAAAAAAAGAAAAAATAAATAAAAATTTGTGGGTTTAGCTTCCCTGACTCACAAGATCTGCATATACACATGAAAACATGGGCATTTGGTGACTCTCTGGGACTTAGTTTCCCAAACACTATCAGGTGGCAGATTTGGGGTTACCAGATTATTTAAAAAATAAATAAAGGGCTGAGCATCTAAAAATCAGCAGTTGTGAGATGCAGGCAAACGATGCAGAGCCCCCAGCTGAGATCCCCAGGAGCTGCTCCTGGCTGCTGAAGTTAAAGGTTACAAACCCACATTGATTAGAGACCAAAGCCTGACGTTGCCCAGGGCTTCCTTTTATTGCTGTTTGCTTTGGAGCCACGTCAGGCAGGGCAGGGAGGGTTAAGGGCCATTGAGCACGTCTTGTCAAAAGCTGTCTGGGCAGAACAATCTCCCTTCAAGCCCACCATCCACCACCAAATCACCTTCCCCACTGTCATGGATTCAGGGCTGGGGATGGTTGTTCCATCCCTGGGTTAGTTTGGAACAGCTGTGCCAACTTAGCAGCTCAAAGAAGGCAGAAGCAGGGATAGAAAACAAGGGTTTGCATGAAGACCCAGCTTAAGCCTTCGTTCCACTCTCTGTAACATTTAAAACAGTAGATTTCATGCATGTTGCTGAAAGTCCTCCATTTGCTCCAAGAAACTGCACATTTCTCACAAAAAAGTGGTAATTTCCACAGTAAATTTTGGTAAAGAGCATGGGTGCATCCCATTGGAATTTTTGCACCTGTCATTAGAAAAATAAAAAAGGTGAAGCCTGTTCTCATCTTCCCTCACTGCTATCCCGTCATTTTCAACATTTCAAAGGTTTTAATAACACAGAAAATAAAACTTATTCAGTGAAAATCAGAAGCCAAGTTGTTTTGCTCCACTAGGACATATAAGTGTATCGGGAAAAATTGTCCACAGGAACAGAGGTTTCATCTCCCCAGCAGAGACTCAAACCAGGCACTGGCAACTCTAAATCCTTATGCTTCAAAATCCAGGCTAAGGAAAGGAGAAATAAACCCCTTCCTCCCCACAAGTGTCCATCAGCAACATGCTAAGCCAGGAGGAACTTTTTATGGTTTAAAATGTTACTCAGAACTCGGGTGCCACCTTTTCTTCCTCCCTGCCTGCACTTTGAAACAATAAAAGGGAGAGGGGGACACGCAGGGCAGCTTTAGCCATCAGTGTCCTCAGAGCTTGACTCTTGCAGGTTAAGTGCAATCATGGATGATATCTGGGACAACTGCTTGAACCCAAAGCCATTAGCTGCCTCCCTGCTGAATCCCCAGGGCCCGGCTGTCTCCTTGCATTAGAGGCAACACAAATGGAACCTTCTCCTCGGATCTGGGAACTTGGCACAGCGCCCAGGCTGGGGAAACCACTTCCCAGAGCATCCCCAGTCCCAAAGGGAAGGCTTCCAACCAGCCAGTGCTGCCACAATTTCCTGTCCAGCCATCCTGTCCCTGATGTCACGGGCACAAATACCTCCAGATCCACGGGGAACAGCTGGGTGGTGCAAGGGGAAGAGGGATCCTCCAGCATTCCCACTGCTGACACCCGGGACCCACACAGGCGTTGAAGATGCTGGGGAAAGGTAAGCCAAACCTCATCCTCTTTCAGAGCTTTTCAGCTCATGCCATCCTCTCCCAGCCTTCCAGGCACTAGGAAGAGCTTCAGGCATTCCAAGGACCAACCAGCAGGGTACAGGGCAGAAAGGGCTCAGGGACCACCTCTTTGCTTTGCTTTTTCCTTGTGAGGCCTCTGAGCACTTCCCACCTTCAGGTCCCACTAACAAAACTCAAAATCTTCTCCTAAGAGGTAGAACTTTCACTTCTATCTGGACGCCCAGAACACTTCAGCTCTCTGTCGAGATGCCACAGTGCCACCAGAAATGCAGGAGGCAGTGCCAGGCTCTTGGAGCAGCATGTCTGCATCCCACAGAGCCACCCTGGGAGGCTCCCAACACCTGTCTGGAAGGGAAACCTCAGCACCCACGTGAGCACAGGCAGGAAGGATGGGAGTGCTTCTTTTTGCTTCAGGCCAAGTTGATATGCAGCACAGGAGGTGGCTGGCATTTAGCATTAACATTTGTCTCTCCCTAGAAAGTCTGTCTCCTTTCCAGATAACCAAACGATGTTTTGCAGGAGGAAGGGCAACGTTTCACTGCTGCAGCCCCTGGCTATCCTGTTTCCATGTACTGCAGCAGAGGGGAGCTGGACTGCCCCCACAGCGAGAGCAAAGCTGGAAATTAGCTCTCTCCCCTCATCCTGCAGGGTATTTTAAAACTGGTGTGGTCTGTGTGTCTGACTAATGCAGGTTCACATGTTAGAAAATGTTCCTCCCAGCTGAGCTGCGCGTGGCCGAACTCCCCACCACCAAATCCTCTCCCTCAACTTTTGGGACTTCATTCTAAATACAAAACTGGAGGGAAGAAAGCATCAAATCCCCACCTGTGGACTGGCGTGTGCCACGAAATTCATCCCTGGGGCCGAGGACAGGGCGACGGGGTGGGAGGCCAGGGAGGAGGCGATGACCCTGTAGGGCGATGCCAGGGCGTTCACCGGGGAGCCGAGGGCGCTCATGGGCGATGGCAGCGCCCGCGCCGCGCTCCCGGGGGGCTCCAGGAAGCCGGGGGGCCCCTCCAGCACCGGGCTCCCCGTGGACAGCCCCGAGGACAGGCTGACGGACGTGGAGCTGGCGTGCACGGGGGAATCTGCGGGGAGAAGCGGAGAGGTGAAGGGCCACCAGCTGCACAGCCTGGTTGTGTCGGCTTAAAATGCCAGCCCGGCCTCAAAACCAAGCAGAAAACCATGCTGCAGAGGGAAAAGAACAAAGTGTGGGTTATAGCACAGGGAAATGAGTTATGGACTGTTGGAACGCTGGTTCCTGAGAAATTGAGACTTTCTGTGCTGACCCCACAAGAGAACAATGCGTTTAACCTGAGACCGCAGAGAAGACTTCCAAAATTAAATGATAAAACTAAAGTTATGAGTGTGTAGTTTGAATAGAAGTGTGTAATATCACATAGTAGAAAACTTAAGACTTTAAAGTTTTAGAATATAGAATATACATAGAATTTATTTACATTTTTATATAGAATATATAAAACAAGATAGAAGTTGTAGAGCCAAAATTAGTCCTCCTTCACCTTCTTCTTCATGAGTTTGAACAGTATTGTATTACATATATAACGATATAATATAATATAATATAATATATATAATACAATTAATATAATATAATATAATATAATATAATATAATATAATATAATATAATATAATATAAATATAATAATAAATAGTATATATATATATATACACTAAATTTAAAAGTCCACATTGCGAGTCATGGGTAATTAGTCATCGAATTAAAAGTAAAAATAATTTAAGTGTCATTTCTTAATTAGACAGTTTATCCTTAAAAGGCCTTGTAGAGAAAGAAATACAACTCAATTTTTAGCTTGTTAGAGTGAAGTGCTATAAAACGCACAGTTTGTGAGATTGTAATATAAATAAGAAGTAATAAACATCTGAGTCCAAACAAGAAATACCATCTCACACATTTAATCCCAGCCTTGGCAAAAGAAAGAAACTAGTGAATCCTCAATATTCAGCAACAAAATTTATTGTGGAGATAATGTTTAATAACAAAATATTCCTTTTCCACTTCGGTGCCTCAGCAGACTTGGAGGAAGGCACCACTGCCTGCCTGCCTCAGGCTGCTTTTCAGTGTGCTCTGAACTCTTCCCCGAGCTCCCATTTCTTTTGTCTGAGCCAGCTCTAGGGACAGCACACTTCTGAAACCCTGAAATCCTCACCAGCCAGCCTGGAAACTCTGAACGTTCCACTAGTCTGATGAAGAAGCACCTCTGCTCTGGCCTTGTGCTGCCATGGCTCAGTTTTCCCCCTTCCCACTCAGTGTGCCTCCACTGTGCCTTTTCACATGTTCACTCCCAAAACTGGGTGCAGCACCTTCCACAGGAGCTGGAGCAACCCAGGAATGGCTCACGACACGCCTGCAATGCAAGTTTCAGGACAAGGCAGCCACAAAGCAATTTTTGTCCTTTATTTTTCCTCATTTGTACAAATCAGAGCAGAGAGTTTGGCCACACAGATGTGCCAGGGCACTCTCACAGCTACCAGGACAGGGGGTTCCCTCCCTCCACACTGAGGAGCTGCAGTGCACATCACCAGGCTGAGCCTCACAGCAGCCACACGAGATCAGCCTGCCCCTGAACCCTGCTGAGGAAGAGGTGGTGTAAAAAAACAATACAACCCTGATCATTGCCACTTCAGGGCAGACTCTGAGGCTGAACAGCTCAGCCAAGGCCTAAATACTGTCTCCTGTAAGACATTATTTACCCTCCTCAAACATTCAGAGGGTATCTGGGCACCAAATGCCCACTAGTCCAAATGGGTCGTGCATCTAGGTGCATTTTAAGGATTTCCATGACCTTTTCTCCCTCCCTTCGAATTTACCAGCCCTAGTTAGCATTAGCTGTCATTAACATTCCTGTGAACCATTATTTCTCTGTTGGTTTTCCAGCACAGGAGATCATTCCCTGGAGTGGCAAGGCGAAGATGTTGTGTGGGAAGGTCACACAGCTGGTTTTTCATGGCTGGCACAGAGGATACATTCTCCCATTGCATTTGCAAGTAAGGCAGCGCTTGGGTGTTTTGTTTGTTTGTGGTTTTTTCCCTCCTTTTAACATTATTGCAAAGTTATTTACGTGACAGTGTTTGTTATTCTACCTGAAGTAACAATCAAATCTGATTCAAAGGGAAGATGCACAATAAAGACGGGAAAAGGTCAGCTTGCTGAATAACATTAAAGACATTTGTCAGAGTCAAGGAGGACTCGATCCGCCGTTATCAACCCGCTTCAGACTTAATTCTGCTGAGGGAGGGGGAGAAAAGGTCTTTGTCAATTCTTGCTTTGGCTTTTTGGATCAATTCTCCCGGTGGGAAAGCGATGTGCAGCACGAGGAAGCCGGCTCAATGACAACAGCAGAAGCCTCAGAGGCAGCGAGGCGGTCTGGAGGCAGGAGCAGGGCTCTGCCTGCTGCCACAGTCACCCCACATCCCCCTGCCACCATCAGGGAGACACACAGCCTGCTTGCTGCTAGCAGACAGCAACATCCCTGCCTCGGAATGGATTCCAAGTGCTCCAGTCCTTCATCCCAGGGAGAGAGTGCCTGCAGCACTGGGCAGAAGCTGTGCTGTTGGCTTGGAGCCCCCTCCCTCACCCCACAAGCACTCAGCTCACACAGGCACCTCAGATGTTTCTTGGGGCTTAAAAGGACCATCCTGACTTGGGCCATTATCAGCTTCAGAGAAAAACAAATGCATTTTTCATCACCTGTGGTACCAGGTACAACACACAGTCCTCCCCAGCATCTGCAGCACAGACCTAGAAAGAATTTGCTTTTACGCCTCTTTAAATAACTAGGTAAACAACATTGCCTTTGAGGATTCCTCAGCTTGGAAAATAAGTCATTGCAGGGGATACTGGGCAGAGATCTATCACACCAGGAGAGCTGAGCAGAAGAATGATTCTTCATCCTTTTCCATTAACACAGCAAAGGGCATATTTTGAAAGTATCATGCAGAAGATTTAAACCAATAAGGAAAGACACCCAGGGGAGTTAACTGTTTGCTTTTATGCCAGACCTTTCAGAAACGCTGTCACTGCCAAGTTTCTCCATTAGAGAGGCTCCAGGTTTCACAAGGACCCAGAGCAAGGCTTCCACTCCAGGAGGCTGCTGGTCAGTGCAAGCCCCACGTGGGCTCGTGCCCCTGCCAGGGCTGTGCCCAGGGGCATCCCCCAGACCCCAGGATGGGATCAAAGGCCAAAGCCAGGAAACCTGGAGGGTTTTACCCCGTTACACCTCTGTGATCCCAGCAATGAGATACCAGAGAGGAGGTGTGAATGCACAAAGGAGTGTTTGCTGGTGGAGATGGATGGATAAATGAAAATACCTACTGGGGAGCACAGGGGTGTAAAGCCAGGCTTTGCCAGGGCCTGATGACACAAACCAGAGTTAACATTTGTTTCTACAGTGCCTGGCTACACTGTCCTGCCAAGGCTCTGACAAACCCCTTGGTCAAATCCAGCAGTGTTAAATTTCCATTTACCAAACAACAACTTTATCTGTTACAAATTCAAATAAAGCCCCCATCTAAAAAACCACAACAATGATGACAAAAAGCTCACAAACAACAAAAAACTTTGACTTCCCGTCCCCTTCTGGGGTAAGTCTGCTAAGTCATCCACCAGGGGAGTAGAAATGCATTCTCCTGCACCTCCTTTCAGCTTCTCATTTTCAGGCTAGAGTGGTCAGAGAGGGATATAAGACATGACTGTTAGCAGACTATCAGCTTGTGAGAGGAACAATTTTCATGGCTGAAAGGTGTGCAGGAAGAGCCAAGCCAAAGCATCCTTGACCCTGGGGTTAATTATTCGCTCAGCTGAGTACGCTCAAACTTGTTCCAGTTCAAAGAAGCCAGGGAGGTCTGGACTGTGCAAATGGCCAAGTTTTGAAAGAAAATAATGAAATGAAATTACCTGCAAGAAAATACTGATGGTCTGTGTCCCACATCTCCCAGCAGAACCCAGAAGGTCTTGGGTTCACCGGGATGGAATGGCTTTAGTCCAGCATCATTTGGGAGACAGACAAATGGCAGTGGAACAGGGCTGGGGAGGAGGGAAGCAGCTGTGGGACGGAGCAGGCTGGGCTGGGGAGGCAGGAGTCAGTCCTGCACGGGGCACAGGTGACACTTACCCGGGCCTGCAGCGTGTCCGTCAGGTAATGCAAGGTGACAGCAGGGACGGGCACGCCCCGAGCACGGGGCACCAGCCACGCTGGCCATGTCCCCACGCCAGCTGGGGAAGGCCAGCTGGGACCTGCACCAGCACCAGGGCTCGCTGCCGCTCCTCGCCCCCGCCCCGCACTCACCGTGGCTCATTCCTGACCCACAGCTGGGGCTGTTTGTCTGTCCTTCTTCACTGCTTCCTTCTCCACATTAATGCCTGGACTGGGAGTTTCCTGCCCAAGCTCAGGGAAGCTTGATTTTGTATTTATTTCTCTCTGGAGGAGCAGGGGAAGGGAGGACAGGAGGATTGTGTGGATTTTTCAGTATCTCCGCTGCAAACATGCACTGCCCAGAGAAGCCAGTGCCTCCATCAACTCTCCACAAGCTGCCTTAAACAGAAGCACACACTCCAGCCTTCTCTTGGAAGGGTGCAAAGCTTAAGAAGGAAGAACTTGCTTCTAGGTGCTTCAAAGTGGCTCTGCAAATTACAGCATTGTTTGTGGCAGGGAGCAGCTGAAGCACACACACACACACACAAAGACAGTGTCCATCTCGTTGCTTCAGCATTCAGAATAAGGATTATATCCAATGTCAGCTTAAGCATCTCTGCTGCCATTCGGAAAAATAATGAAGAAAGGCCCCAAGAAACACTCAGTTCTCTGCATTTTGAAATTACTGCCTTTGAGGACACAAGCAACAGCATTATCCTCACCCACCAGCTACTGAAGATGAGCAAGCACAAAAAACTTCAATACTCAACTTCCATCTGTGTTTCATCTTCACTTTAGCAAAATCCTAATCCAGGGATAGGAAACTTGCATGAATGGCCTCATAAAAGCAGAAGAACACCATCTACATCACAGCAGATGTGTAGGTGTCCAACAGATGCACCTGCAGAGCACAAAAGCTTCAGGTCCACTACACAATGCTAAACAGCCAGGTCTGGGCTGGCACAGAGCAACTGAACCAAGGTGAGCTTGATAAAGGCACCATGGATGCCTTTACCAAGCTCTGAGCTCCAAACACTTCACAGGTAAAGCTGAGGAAGGCGTGGAAACGAAGACTTCTCTTCTTCAAGAGCTCACAAGTGACCCCAAATACCCTGGTGAAGGCAGTAGGAAGAGAAGGAGCCAGGCTGCAACCCATAAAACTGTCTTGATTTTCACACAAATAATGGTAGCAAACATTAGCTTCAGCAGTGACACCTGAGCAGAAAGAAGAAACAAACTGCAGAGATCAGAAATATCCAACACTGTCTGTTTAACCACCACAGGCTGCAGGTTTGTTTTGTCCAATGCCCCTCCAGCTGCAACACCCAGCAAAGCCTTGAGAGAAATACCTGTGTTCAACACCAGGGTCTGACCTCATCTAAGGCCTGACACAATCCTTGAAGAGCCCTGGCAAGCCCAGAGATGATGATACTCTCAACATTCACAGTTTCCTTTTTAATATCAGCGAGAATCAAAAGCTGGAAGTCATCAAATAATGAAAAACACTTATGCTCCCAAGGCCTCAGAGAAAAGGTTCACAAACATTTAAAGGTGTGAGTTGCCTGCCTGACACATGACTTTGCAGATACTTCATCCTCTGCAGATCAGAAAGCACCAAGAAGTGGGAAGAGACAGGCAGAGAAGGGCTGATTTCAGGAGAGGAGCACGAGTGTGCGTGGGAGGTGCAGCATGGCAAACAGCTCGTCCTTGGGGACGACCTTGAAAAGGAAATACCTGTGAGAAACACTCCTGAAAGTGGCTGCAGTTATGGTAGCAGGATGCCCACCATAACTGGAATCAAGCAAAGTTCTGCTGCTGTGACTGCAGAAGCTGTTTTTGTTTGATACACAGCAGATGAACCAAAAAACTGTTCCCTTTCTGGTGGTATTTTTAACCATCCAAGCAGATTCCCACAGACAGTACAAACTGCCATGCTAATATCCCACAGAAAGGTTAGTGGGTTTGCCTTGCTTTCAAGGTCCAGTAACCTCTGTGTTTCCATCTTCCTGCTCAACTCCATGTCAATAAATAATGCAGCCTTCCCTGAGCACTAAAAATGAGGAGGGAAAACTCCCAGGGGATGTAGTGGCACATATGGGAGCAGGGGTTTCTCCAACAGGGCAGCACAAAGTTTCCCTCAGCTCTCCAGGTGGTGGGAAGAGCTGATTCCTCTCTTCTCTCCTGTGCCTCCCTTGCAAACAGGGGCCACCCAAAACCTGGCCACAGGAAGCTGTGTGTCGTGTCCAAATGTCCTTGGACATACTGAGCTATTGACCCACTGTCCAATTGCAGTCAAATCAGGCCAAGACCTCAAAATAGCAGCTGCTGCTGAGCCTGCACCAGGGAAAGACTCCTTCAGCAACCACACATCAAGTAATTAAAACAGAACTGCAAGCCAAATTTACTCACCCTAACAAGGTGTCACATCTCCCTGGTGACCACAGTAACACACAAGAGTTGGATAAAATTCCTCGTCTCCAAAAAAAAAGGAAAAAGTTGTTGAATTTGAGGCCTGAAGGTTTTTTTCCACGATTGTTTGATCAGATTTCCCACTTGGCCAGCAGCCACTAGGAAAAACATGCACAAATTCCTATAGCTGTCTCTGAATTTGTGGAGAGGCTACAGGTCCCCAGGAGAACAGATCCCATTGACTGTAGGACCTGTGGTTACACCAGGCAACTAAAGGCAGCTGACTCCTGCTTTAAAAGAAAAATTTTCACAAAATTTAAAATTTAATTTTCCCAGATGCCGAAATTGCCCAGTCACAGGATTTTCTCACACCTTTGCTGGGTCAAAGGGCTCTTTTCCATCTTCACATCTACAATTATAGGAATGGACACAGGGGACATCCAGGGAAAAAAAGCATCCTGCAGATCACAAACCTGGGACTATCACATGAGAAAAAGGTGCCAGCCAGCCAGGCAGCAGAGCCAGTGCAGCACAATGTGGGTTTTCCTCTCCCTATCCCCTAAACGCCCTGGCCTAACCCTGCTTTGCTTGGGAGAGCTGACAAGATCGCAGCCGGAGGTGGTGTGGCCACGGGCCAAGTTACATGAGTACCAATAAAAGAGACTTTGTGGAGGAGCCAAGTTAGTTCTGTCCCCAACCAACGGTGCCAGAGAGCGCTCAGAGAGAGAGGACAGCCAGCACAGCATCTTTCCTTGCCCTGGGAGCTGGGCTTTGGGTGAAATGCATCCTTCTGGAGAATAAAAACACATTTTTAAGCATTTTCTTTGCTCCTGTAGCCCAGCCTTAGCCCACATCTCCTGCTTTAGATGTCTAAGGGTGACTCATCTGTTATTCTACAAACTCATCTGTGACACCCTGGAGTCTGACTGTCCTTTTCTCATCACAAATCATGTGCTTATGACCAAGTTGTGGATGTATTTCTCAGACAAATTTGGTGGTGCTAATCAGATGTTTAAGATCAAAGTGAGTGTTGCACACACCACCAAAAACATGCACCTTATTTCTAACCTGAATGCAGACAAAATTAAGGTAAAGCAGACGCAACAGATACCTGAAAGCAAAGAAAAAGACAGCAAGTAGGTGCCCTTTTTTTGACATTATGGTGAAATTGAAGCCCAGAATTTCAGAGCTAAAGGAAATCTGAATGCAAGAAGATCAGCAGAACCTGCATCACCTTAACTTTGCCCTCCAGCAACACCGTGCAATGAATGCTACAAGCTGACAGCTTAGTGTGGACACTGCCCTGGCATCCTGATGCTCCAGGAAGAGTTCCATGGCTTTTCCAAGGATGGGGGAGCAGTGAACACCAGGAACACATCCCGAGTCTGACGGAGATGCAGGCTGCCTGCACAGGCTTCCTGGTGAGGACCCAAGGCAGTGGAAGATCCCTTCCACCCGTGGTCACCAGCATCTCTCCTCCTCCAAAGCCTGGCTGCTGTGTCACACAGACCCTAAAGCTGTCTGACCAAAACAGGCACTGCTTCCTCAGCCAGCCAGAACCCCCCTCTGCAGAGCCAGCCCCAAGGAGAGGGAGCTGCCACATCACCAAGCTGCCACAGGGACATGGAAGCCCTCTGGCTTTGAGGGGAGCGTGGCCAGGAGTGGCAAACTCCATCCAGGGAGCACAAGATGGGACAGAGGGACTGCTTTAAAGCATCCCAAACAAAACTTGGCCAATGCTTTTGCATCTCTGCCAGGCATTCACATACAGAAAACACCTCTGTTTCTAACACCAAGTTGGAGGCAGGTTAAAACACCAGTTTAATACTTTAAATGGAAGTTAAACTCACAATATACTGAACAGTTAGAGAACAGTCCCTTCGCCTTTATTGGTGGAACAAAAATCCCTCTGCTCCTATTACCAATTTCCTCTGCTAGAAATCTCCCAAAGGCTCTGCTGAGTGTTGTGACCCTTGTCCCTGCAGGGATCTCTGCCTGGTTCCTATGAAGATCAGCTTGAATGTCGCTTTTCTTTTGGTTCGTTGCAAATTTGCACTAGAAATAAATTAAACACAAATAACACTTTCATTGTTTCGTTCTTATTGCAGCAGTAGGGGAGAGTTCAGCTTGTCTTTGCTGGGTCCTTAAAAACACCAGTGAGCAACAGCTTCTCCCAACGAGTCATCTCCTTTCTGCAGAAACAGCCTAAAAAGGTATTTTGGAAAGTCGAGTGCTTGTGAAACTTGAGGATAACTTGATGCAATACCAATGACTTTTCTGGAGTTGGAGAATTACCAGAGGTGAGCATCTGGTGAAAAAGGGAGGGGAAAAAAACCCCACACACTGGGAACATCCCATGTGCAATGCGATGTCTGCACAAACTGCTTCTCCAGCAGAGAAATAAAACTGAGGTACACAGCCTGGGGGCCTCCAGAGCGAATCCTGGAGGCATTTCCCCACTTTGAAAGGCTGGGAATAATATAAAGAGCTTTCCAGAGGTACCAAGACTTGGCACACGCATGCACTTTGAGCTCCATCAGTACTTTCAGTAGTCCATAGGTGGGTGCTCCCAGCCCCTCGCAGCTCCAGCCCACAGCTCCTCAACCCATTCCCCTCGTGTCAGGGCAAGGGGAACAACTTCAGACAAAACATGAAGAGTAATCCCACAGCCATTTCCCAAGAGCAGCTCCTGCAGCCAGGGCTCGCTCACGGTGGGCACGGGGGTGTCACAGCCCTGGCCCCTGGCTGTCCCCCTGAGCAGCCTCCCTTGGCCAACCTGACACAGCTCCACACGATTGTGGTGGGAGCTGTGTCACAAGGGCAGGAGACAGCCCCACAAGGCAGGAGATAGCCCCACAAGGCAAGGAATCAGCCCTCCTAAGATTTTCTCGGGAGGTGTTTCACGTTTGAAAAGTAATTTTAAATACCCCCCCAACAAGTTAATAAAAATTAAATTAGAAAGATGCTTACTTGGTTTGATGCCACAAGGCAAGGAATTAGCCCTCCTAAGATTTTCTCGGGAGGTGTTTCACGTTTGAAAAGTAATTTTAAACACCCCCCCACCCCCAACAAGTTCAATTGGAAAGATGCTTACTTGGTTTGATGCTGTTCCTACAATGCAGAGATTCAAGCCACCACACACAGACACAAACACGCATCTCCCAAGCGATCCGCTAAACTTCAAAGCGGAGCGCAGCCTGCAAAATTTCAGGCAGCCTGCTCTGGCCGTGCAGAAGTTCACAGCACATAAAACCACAGGACAGCTTCGCGGGCACTGCAGGTTACAGCCACATCCGAGCTAGGTTAAACACGTTTTAAATTCCCTTTACACCCCCCCCGCCCCGCGCCAGTTCCTCCCCCTAACCCAGAATGCAAACTCAAGTAAAACACTTACTGCCAAAGCCCGCAGGAAACTTAATGAAGTGAGGATAATTCCCATACATGTTTAATCTTCAGTTCATCGCTCTCCCTTCCCAACACGACCTCCTCCTCCTCCTCTAAAGCCCCAAGGCGCCCGGAGCGCAGCGCAGCCCGCGGCGCTGGGGCATGGCCCCGCAGCGGCGGCGGCTCTCGGCGGCTGCAGGGCTCATCCTCCTCACCCCCGCAGCATGGGGGGCCCAGCCATGCCCCTGTTCCCCCGCTCACAGCCGGCTCCCGTGCTCGGCTGGCTCGGCTCCCTGCGAATTCCCGGCGCTCCGGGCTCGCGGCATAATCGCCCAGTCGATGCTCGGCGGCTCCGGTGTGGATCGGGAATTGGGAGGAGGGGGAGAGGTTAAGTTCTTCGGGGGAGGAGCGTGGTGGGAAGGAGGGGGGGATTTGCTGCTCCACCAGTGTTGGTTCCAGCAGCTCCGGCCATGTGGAGGGTCTCTGTGGCCAGGGAAAGGAGCAGCCCTGGCCGGGAGGAGTTGCACATCCATTCCCGCATCCCACACCAAATCCTGCCGAAATCAGGGCACGGTGGTGCTGGGCTGCAGCCAGCCCCGGGAAATGCAGGGCTGAGGAGAAGCAGGACCTTCCTGGAGCTAGCAGAGCTGGCAGCTCAGCTCCCATCCCCAGCCGCACCCAAAGGAGCACAAAAGACACGCAAAGCACACCAAAAGCCTCATTAACCGGTTGCTAAAGCTGGGGGGTGAGAGGAGGTGGGACACAGGACAGAGCCCGGGGGGCTCAATCCGTGCTGCACACAGTCAGTAAAGTTCACAGCAGGGCTTCAGACAGCCCCAGACCCACACCCACAACTTCATCTAATGCCCAGCCCTCCCGACAATGAAGTTCTGCGGGAAATGTGCAGGAATAAGCAGCAGCAAGCAGCCAGCTGCCAAGGGCAGAGCCACATGCAGTCCCCAGCACTGCCCCTCCAGTGCCTGGTGCCCCGGGTCAGGAACAGCCCCAATTCCCTGACGGCAAACCCCAGCTCTGGGGAGAGGCAGGGATACAGCACAGCCCGCTGATTCTGGGGTCTGATCTGGGAAACCTCAAATAAAGCCGCCTCAAAGGAATGGAGGAGGGAGCATTTTGCCAGAGGTCAGCACTCACAAGTGTGCTGGAAGAGAAGGTGGCTTGCAGACCTGTCATTGCCACCAGCCACACAGCAGAGAAAGGGGCTAGCAAGGGGCTTTGCCTTCCCAGGGGACCATGGGGAGCGTGGCATGCAAGCAGCAAGACAAAAAAAAAAAGGAAGAGCAGATTAGGGTGTTTGGCATCCCATGAGGACCTTCTGGTGTCCCTCCAGGTCACCCCAGGACCCATTTTGCCCTTTGGCAAAGCATGCTGGAGGGGGAGGGCATGGAATCTGCCAGAGCTCCTCAGAGCACCCAGATGCTGGCTGGGGTGCAGTCAGCCCTGGGGGATCACGTCTGCAGGAGAAGGAAAGGTTGCCCTGGTTAGCTCTGTTTCTTCCTTTGCTCTCAGACATTGCCACATCTATTTATCTCTGGCTAGAGTTTAGGCAAGGGAAAGGCTTTATCCTCTCCCTTATGTTAACAATCTTTATATTTAAAAGGTGATTTTCTTCCTCCAATTCCTGCTCTGCATCTGCGTGTGTGATGTGCAGTACTGGGAGGACACCATGGCGTGGATGCACAGCTCTTTATGGGCACCAGGTACATCAGATCAGCTCCAGGGCTTGGAGTTTCCCTGGGAATGGGAACCTAACACTTGGGAGTGCATCTCCACACGGCAGAACAAATGGATAAGCTGCCTGCTGTCAGGAGCAAGGAGGTTTGCAGGCAGTGGTATCAGCATTCTCTATAACCCCTTAGCTGTGGCCTAGGTTTACACACACCTTTTTTTCTCACAGTTAAAGAAACAAAACAACAACCAAGAGATCAGTATTCAGAGTAGGTTCTACTGAGGCAAAAAAGCCACCAAGCAACTGCAGTCTTGCAGGGGGAATACAAACAGCAGAGATCACTCTTGTATTTTCTATCTGGCCACCTTTCACATCTCATTTGTTTTACTGCACAAACATTAATGGCACTGCAGAACTGTTTTTAGGGAAGGAGAGGCAGCTGAGCACACATCCCTCTCACTGGCCACAAGTTTTGAGCCCTGGGGAAGGGAGACCAAAGGGTTTGATGAGCAGCACGAGAGCACAGCACAGCAGCATCTGACTGTGTGGTGCTGTGTCCTGCCCTGCCACCACCCCAACACACATCAAGGCCATCCCCAGTGAATGTCCTCAGCTCAGGCCAGTCCTTCCAGTGTTCACAGCTGCATCCAGGTGCAGGAGATGTAGGCACAGCTCCTGTTTCAGTGGAGGCTGCCCCACACTCCACCCTGTCTAATCCAAGTGGTGTCAATCCCAGCAACCACAAGGATTCCTAACTCATCAGCAAAGTTTGCTGTTTCAGGATAACACTGGCTTTGCCTCCTCTGCTGTCCTTTAACAGCCACGCCGGGGATCCTTGTTAGGAGCAGGAAGCAAAAGCCAGGCACCAGGCAGGGATTCCTCAGTGCCCTGCAGGCAGGAACCCAGGGCACTGCTGAGGAGCAGGCTGCAAGGTGGCTTGTTTCAATCTCCTGATAGAAAATTGGATTTCTCAGCAGGGCAAGTTTTTTTTTCCCTCTGTCACAAGACTGAAAGAAACATTTTTTCAATCACAAAAGCCTAGCAAACAAGCTGCTTTCAAAATAAGTGATTTTCACACACACACACACACACACAAACATGCGCTCAGTAAGATCCAAAACTTCCATGCCAGAGAGGGACTTTGTGCAGCCCCACACACAACCTGCCAGAGGGATGTTTCTCTGCTCTGGTGCCATGGGAAAGCTCTGGCATGCCTGTGCAGAGGGGCAGAGTGGCCTTGTGCCCCTGTCCCCAGGTGCCACTGGCACTCAGGACTCAGATGCTGTTGGATTTTGACACAAATCCACTCTTGCACACCAGTTTCGCTTCCACCTGCTCGAGTCACACCTCCCTGCCCTGCCAGCCTGCCTTGTGCCCTGCCCTCAGGAGGGTTTGTGCCCTTGCCGTGCAGGGGCAGAGGCAGCTGCCTGCCCTGGGAACGGGGAGGTGTGAGCAGCTTTGTGTTCTGAGCACCAGCCGTGCCGAGGTTTTAGCAGTACCATTTATTCTCACCCACCACGCGGGATCTCAGCGGCTTTAATTCCATGCTAATGAAGTTTTAGTAGGGAATTATTTTTATTGATCTGCCCAGAGCAAAGAGCCTGATTTTAGAGCAGCTCTGTCAGCACCCCCTTCCCCACAGCTCTTTTCTTTCTTTGGGAGAGGAAAGAAGACAAAACAGCTCTGAGCTCCTTAAAAAGGTTGGCAGTCCCAAGCAGTAAGTGGATTACTTTATTGATTTTTAGCAGATCTGGGTTAGTGAGTGCTTAGCACTGCAGAACACATGCACACACAGAGCAACTTCAAGGAAACCTCTCCAGGCCCTTTCCTCAGGCAAATCAAGTGGCAGGCAATTAATTTAGGAGACCACCATGGATTTTGGAGCGTGGAGAAGTTCCAGTCCCTGCACCCAAGTCAGTCTGTGACAGACAGAATTTAGGAGCCAGCCCAGCCTCTCTTAAGCAGTACTGCAGGACCTTACAGAGGCAGCCCCTCAGTTTCTTGTAGAACAGCACAATTCACAGCTTCAGAGTATTAAATGCTTTTTATTCCCCTGCCAGTCCTCATTGTTGTGTAAAAGGAGAAGACATCATGACTGCCACTGTTCATTTAGGAAGGAAAACCATGGCCATGCTGCCCCCAGATGGGATTCAGTGCTGCCAGGGGGCCTCCAGCAGCCACACATGGGGGCATCAGTCAGAGCAGGACTCCTGACAAAGCAGAGCTGTTCAAGCCAGCTAAGATGCTAACGTTGTGTTGGGATCCCCAGCTCACTCACTCACCTCCCAGGCAACTTTCCAAGGCCCCTGTACTGTAGATAGTATTTCTGAGTGTGCTGGAATGGCATCTCAAAGAACTCCTCCACCAGTACTGCCCCACCAAGCCTTTAGGGTGGAGCCTGACTGCATAAGGGCCTGCAGGGGATAGTTTTATCCCACTTTGTGCCAGAACCAGGAAAGCTGGAAAGTAAATATGGTCCCTCTTCCTTGAACTAGGAAGAACCCAAATATGTTCAAGAATTCCGTCAGGACCCACCCCATCTTTGTTTAAAGGCAAAGGCAGTCAGTGCATATACTGATGGCACAGATATGACCAAATAAAAAGGTTGCATCTCTTATAATCCCACAGCATTCATCTTCCTCCTGCCACACTGCTCCAGAGTGACAGAATTCCAGAGAAAACCCACTTCCTCTGGGGTGCTGGTGTTAGAGCTGGGGCTCCCTTCACATGGCTAATAAGGTGCAATAAGGGCTACCAGGCTGAGTGCCCCAAGAGCCAAAATGCCCATTCTCCTCCCTGCTAGCCTCTGAGGGTGACACAGGCACCAGGTGACCTACTCAGGGCCAAACAGGAGGAAGTCAGTGCCAGAGCAGGGACTAGAAACTGGATTTCTCCAGGCTGGCAAAGTGGATTGAGCCAACCTCATCCATGTGTTGCACTGGTCCATGGCATTGACCCAGGACAGGCACAAGTCACCAAAAGCAAGTTGCCTCCTTGGAGATGGAGAGGAAAGGAGCTGCTGCATCAGCCCTTCCCCATCCATCCCTGCCCTTCCCCATGTCCAGCAATAACCACAGACACCAAGCTAATGAAATTAAGCCCAGAGCCCCACCGGGCTAATGCAATTACCGACAGCAGCACCTTCAAGCAGCAGCACCACAAACACACCTGCAGGAGCACAGCCTGCCCTCTCCTTCTCCCCAGACCTTCCCTGTCTCTCCCTGAGCCCCACAGCTGCCATCCCCAAGGTGTCAGGGCCAGGGCCATCATGCCCAGGCTGCTCCAGGGAGGGAGGGCACTGCCTACCTTGCAGAAAGCACCGTCCCATGCAGCCAAGCGCAGCCTCCGAGGGCAGATTTAAAGAAGCCTGTTTAAACCTTGGGAGACCTGCAATTACCAGCACCCTAATGAGGCCCTGGACACTAATCAGCGGTGTCACCGAATCCTCTTACGCCTGCCTAAGCACCTCCAGCAGCTTTGCTGGTTGCGGAGCCCAGCTGCCCAATCCTGCAGGGAATTACCTCCTCAGACAGGCACCACTGGTGGCACTTAGGTCTTTTGACACAGATGAAGGTAAAGCACTCCCAGGCATTTGTGCAAGGTGACAGAGATACCTGACAAGGCCTCTGCCCAGCCCAAAGGCACCCGGGCCAAGCCCACACTGCAGTTGATGCC